CTGACCCCATCCAATCACAGGCCATTCTTGGCTTTCCCAGCCAGTAGCATTGGGATTTCGTCTAGCACTGCTTGCTGTTTGGGGACGTCGAGGAACTGAACTTCTAGTGTTGTTTCTGCGATTGAAATCGTTTCCACTTCGAGTCCCTCTGTTATTTCGAGGCCCATTGCCATGATTTTGAACGCTTGGCTCATCTCTGGCAGAAGCTCTTCCATTTCTTCTGTTATTTCTTCCATGTCTAAGGTTGTTATCTGGAGCTAACTGTCGCTGTTCTGCAGTGTTCTGTGTCTGATTCCTCCTGCCGAAGGGAGAGCCTAAATGCGCGCTTTTTCTCACAGGACGGAAATTTATGCAGGAATTACCCACTCATATTACTGGAATCGTGAGGTCTATTCGAGGCTGACGTAGTTGCATTTGCATGAACTGCTCGGCTGTTCATACTAGGAGTTTGCCCGGACCTTTGCCCGGCCTCTTGAGGTCGCCGTCGGCCTCTCGAAGATGAATTTGCATCAGACAAACTGAAAACAGGTCAATCATAGACCTGATAGGAAACAACAATACTCGCTTAAGAATTTTACCCTCCAATGAAGTGCTGATGACGCCTGCCACTAACATGAGTTTGATGACTGGCAAAGCTTGTCGATAGACGACATTGGCAGAGAGAACAGCGAGAATATGTAGCAAACGGCCCATGAAAAGTCTGAATATCGAAATCAAATTAAAATCAATCTTTAACATAAGACAATTTATGGTTGCACATCGCAGAAAAAAAACGTTTCACTAAATGACAATCCACAACCGCCAACGCTTCAAAACAGAAAAGGCACGAAATTTTGGAACATATAAAGAAGAAGAATTAACTGATTGACAGCGGCGCATTATTTACATTTCTGACGCATGGGATCAACGCGTTCCTAAAATTGTGAAAGTGGATCCAGGCATGGGTCAAACAATCCCATACATCCCAGAATGCGGTTCAATGGGTTAAACAAATGAAACAAAAATTAGCAGACACACCGATATATGTGGAAAGGTAGGACTCTCTTCCCATCCGACGAAATTTGGAAAAGTCTCCTCCTGTGAAGAAGACTGGCTAGCACTTACAGCAGTTTCATGACTTTCACTGCCAAAAAGAGAGAAGTCCGAATACGCATGAGTTAATCTGAAATTCACAAAGCTTCAAAGCTGTAATCTCACAAACATCGTAAACACAAAAAACCAAGTCTATTTCTGATTTTTATTTCTATTAGATTCAGATACTTCGCTAACGCAGGTGCAGCTAACTAGAATGATTAAGATGAATAGAAGGTCGCTATATACTGATCACCCACCATGAAAACAGAATTAATCAAGAATTGTCTTTTTATACGTTATTATCATAAAGGATGTGCTTCCATAAGAAAAGTTCTTCTTTGATTATATTGTAGTAAACAAGACTGAGAAAACTACTGTAAAAGAGCATTCATTACTTTATCAGCGAATTTCTAGAATTAAGCAATGGACGTTTATAGTACGGACTACTAGTTATTACAAAACTTACGTGTCAGATTCTCCGGCCCAATCGTAGATGCCATCAAAACGACTGCTTTCTGTTGGAGGTACCCGTACATCATCGAGCGAAGGTACTCGAAACGGCATAAAATCGAGTATTCTGAAACTATCACACGGATATTAATGGCAAATAACAATAAGCGCATAAGATTGAGAGATAAGTCTAAGTGATACCCAGTTGTTTCATCATGAAGCGCATCATATATTACTGCTGATATCTCACTAAATGCTGCAGACATAGAGAGACTTTCCCTTGAAGAAGAACGGTCACTTTTCTAAAAAAGGTGGAGGATTAGAAAATAATAATAAAATCATCCAATTTTGAGAATATTATCCATAGAAACTTTGCATTATCTGAGAGTAACCGACTAATTACGAATATAGTAGTAGGGAAAATTAGGTAGGTTCTAAAATTTTGAAAAAATAATTAGAAGAAACGCACCCGCTTCTCGGCATCCAGCAGATATGTTTTGGTCGAATCCCATCGCGAAAGAA